GCGTGCAGAGGTGCCCTACTTGAGCCACACTAGTGGAGTGACATTTGAAATAACATAGCTGAAATTTGCTCTGGAAACTTGCTCTTTGAGATCGCTAGATGGCCGCAGGGGAGAAGCGCTAAAGAGAAGCGTCTTTCCGCTGCATGGGCTCTTATTTGGCGATTATCAGGCTTCTTCGTCTTCTTCTTCAGAGTCCAGAGAGGAGAGGATCTGCGTGCTGAACTTGAAAATTCTGATATAGCCTAATGGAATTCGGCAGACGGCTCAGCCCATTTTGTCGAACTGAAATGCCATTTGTTTGTGCAGAACGTTAACAGATCAGATTAGGCTACAGTATTCAGAGTAAACAGGGTAAATTTCCCCATAAGCGTCTTCACACAACTTGAGAGACCATTTCGAAAGGGAACTGAATACTCAAATTAATAGTATAGTTTGCCAATCATCTTGTTACAAATGACAAACAATACCTTAAAGGGGAGCTTTTTAATTTTTCAGAGACAGTAGTTACATGTGATGGGTCTGTCCAGCGTCTCAATTGTGGTAAGATGTTGTAGTTACAATCAACTAAGTTATTTATTATATATACTATTTTTGTTATTGTTTTAACAGTAATCCATTAATGATGCTTTTCTTAGAGTATATTCAGACTCTGGTGTGATCAGTGTAAAACCAGGACCATATGGCTGCACAAGCAGCAACATTTGCAGCATTGGACGACAACAAGGTGAAACATTTAATACTCAGTGTTTAATAGATGTTCATGCGGTCTCTAAACAGTAAAGATCTTTTTCATTGTCCTTTTGCTTGTGACTCCTGACAGAAGAATAGAATTAGAGTATCTTGCTTTGTGGTTAGTTAGTTGATTTGTTAGTGATATTGACATTTATTATCCTTTAAAAGATGTGATGGACTGAGAGAGTGTGAGTTAAACACTCAAGGACTTGCAACACAAGATCCATGTTATGGAACCTACAAGTACTACACATTTAATATTCAACTATATTATTGATCTGGACGATGACACAATTTTCTTCTTTTCTTTAAGGAAACTGAATCAAAAAGAAATACAAACAATAAACATGACTAAAACTCAAAGTGTGGCAGTCATTAGATAAATATCATTAATCAGTCATTGTTATTTATGCAAATAAACTACATTTTTTACTGGAAAATATTTTCACAAAGTATTTGCACTAACTCCTGAGAAATTATTCAGGAAGTTTCTTTAACAATAGAGAGTGTTTGCACAAGATCACATTTTTTACAGGAAATATTTGCATTAACTATTTGGACTAATTCCTGAGAAGGAAGTTTCTTAAACAAATGAGAGTATTTGCACAAGATCACATTTACACGGGAAATATTTGCACTAATGTCTGAGAAATTGTTCAGGAAGTTTCTTTTTTCTTTTTTACTTTATTTTTTATACATTTTAACAAATTACAACAACGAACTGAACATTCCTTGACACCACTGGTGGCCCAAATAAAAGAGATACAGAAATAGAAAATGTGAAAAAGAAAATACATAAAACACTATACAATAGTAAAATGAAAGAAAAGAAAAGAAAAGAAAAAATATATATATAAGTAAACGTTTCACACCAATCAGTTCACCCTCAATGTGTTACATGTATGTCCTGTGTTTCCCCCTGTTTAGTATTTTTGGTTCAGTCCAGTGTCCCAGTTTTCCCGCTCCTCGTTTGTGTTCAGTTCATTCACCTGTTTCTAGTTAATTTGCCCCAGCTGTGTCTTGTTCCCATGATCCATTCTCTGTGTATGTAAACCCTGTGTTCTCCCTCACTCCTTGTCGGTTCTCGTTTATGTAACGTTTGTGTATGGTGTGTTGCTGTTTCCCGTGATCCTTGTTTTGTTTGAGTAAATTATATTTGAATTGGACCTGTTGACTGCTGCCTCTTCCTCTGCCTGCACCACACCCGTAACAGAAGAACCGACCTAAAATATGGAGGACGCTATGGAGGCTTTTCTATTTAATCAGAATGGGAGTTCTCTGGAGGAATTTGTTGCAGTTTACCTGCATCTGCATCAGGACGTTTACTGGGAGGAGGAGTTCTTAAAGCAGCGGTTCTGGAGAGGACTGGATTATCCACTAACCCAGATACTGCTGCTAGAAGACTTAAATCTTTCTTTTGCTGAATTTATGGACAGAGCTCTGTGGGTTTGTGGTTCTTCCCTCACAGTAACACCAGCCGATCCAGAGCCCGCTGATCCTGCGCCAGAGCCCGCTGATCCTGCGCCAGAGCCCGCTGATCCTGCACCAGAGCCCGTCGCCTGCCCGCCAGAGCCTGAGCCCGTCGCCTGCCCGCCAGAGCCTGAGCCCGTCGCCTGCCCGCCAGAGCCTGAGCCCGTCGCCTGCCCGCCAGAGCCTGAGCCCGTCGCCTGCCCGCCAGAGCCTGAGCCCGTCGCCTGCCCGCCAGAGCCTGAGCCCGTCGCCTGCCCGCCAGAGCCTGAGCCCGTCGCCTGCCCGCCAGAGCCTGAGCCCGTCGCCTGCCCGCCAGAGCCTGAGCCCGTCGCCTGCCCGCCAGAGCCTGAGCCCGTCGCCTGCCCGCCAGAGCCTGAGCCCGTCGTCTGCCCGCCAGAGCCTGAGCCGCCTTCACTACTGGAGCACGCCTATCCGCCAGAGACTAAGCACACCACACGTAAGTCCACTCAAGAGGAGACTGCATTGATGGTGATGTCTACGGCGATTTTGTGTGTGTGGGCTACACACACATCAGTTCTGGCCCATGCATCCAGTCCTCCCGAGCCTTCTCCGCTGGTTCCGTCCAGCCCAGCCGAGCCTTCACAGCCGGTTCCATCCAGCCCAGCCAAGCCCGCACCACTGGTTCCGTCCAGCCCAGCCAAGCCCTCACCGCTGGTTCCGTCCAGCCCAGCCAAGCCCTCATCGCTGGTTCCGTCCAGCCCAGCCAAGCCCGCACAGCTGGTCACGTCCAGCCCTGCCGAGCCTGAGCTTCCCTGCAGCCCTGCCGAGCCTGAGCTTCCCTGCAGCCCTGCCGAGCCTGAGCTTCCCTGCAGCCCTGCCGAGCCTGAGCTTCCCTGCAGCCCTGCCGAGCCTGAGCTTCCCTGCAGCCCTGCCGAGCCTGAGCTTCCCTGCACGCCTGCCGAGCCTGAGCTTCCCTGCACGCCTGCCGAGCCAGAGCTTCCCTGCACGCCTGCCGAGCCAGAGCTTCCCCGCACGCCTGCCGAGCCGGAGCTTCCCCGCACGCCTGCCGAGCCGGAGCTTCCCTGCGCGCCTGCCGAGCCAGAGCCTTCTCCGCTGGTCCCGTCCAGTCCTCCCGAGCCTTCTCCGCTGGTCCCGTCCAGTCCTCCCGAGCCTTCTCTGCTGGTCCCGTCCAGTCCTCCCGAGCCTTCTCCGCTGGTCCCGTCCAGTCCTCCCGTGCCTTCTCCGCTGGTCCCGTCCAGTTCCCCCAAGCCTGTCTCTGAACCCGTCACTCCCCCCAAGAAAATTTTGGGGGGGGGATATAAGCCACCCTGGCCACCTGAAGTGGCCTCTCCACCCTGGCCACCTGATGTGGCCTCTCCACCCTGGCCACCTGAAGTGGCCTCTCCACCCCGGCCACCTGAAGTGGCCTCTCCACCCTGGCCACCTGAAGTGGCCTCTCCACCCTGGCCACCTGAAGTGGCCTCTCCACCCTGGCCACCTGAAGTGGCCTCTCCACCCTGGCCACCCGAGGGAAAGTCTCCACCCTGGCCACCCGAGGGAAAGTCTCCACCCTGGCCTCCTGCACGTCCTGCTCCGCCCTGGCCTCCTGCACGTCCTGCTCCGCCCTGGCCTCCTGCACGTCCTGCTCCGCCCTGGCCTCCTGCACGTCCTGCTCCGCCCTGGCCTCCTGCACGTCCTGCTCCGCCCTGGCCTCCTGCATGTCCTGCTCCGCCCTGGAGGCTTCCTGCTCCGGGTAGGCCACTCCCTCGTCAGCCTCCAGGGCGCCCACCCCCCCACCCTTATTGATGTTACTCGGCGCGAGGACGCGCCTTGCAGGAGGGGGAGCTAATGTTACATGTATGTCCTGTGTTTCCCCCTGTTTAGTATTTTTGGTTCAGTCCAGTGTCCCAGTTTTCCCGCTCCTCGTTTGTGTTCAGTTCATTCACCTGTTTCTAGTTAATTTGCCCCAGCTGTGTCTTGTTCCCATGATCCATTCTCTGTGTATGTAAACCCTGTGTTCTCCCTCACTCCTTGTCGGTTCTCGTTTATGTAACGTTTGTGTAACGTTTGTGTATGGTGTGTTGCTGTTTCCCGTGATCCTTGTTTTGTTTGAGTAAATTATATTTGAATTGGACCTGTTGACTGCTGCCTCTTCCTCTGCCTGCACCACACCCGTAACACAATGCCTCAAATATACCAATAGGTGTCCACCTTTGTATGAAAATGTCCAGTTTCAGTTGGAGTTGGGCAGTCATATGTTCAATTTTGTAAATAGATATGTTTTTTCTCTATTGACTCATTTTTGGTGGGTGTGGCTTCATCCAATTAATTGTAATGTTTTTTTCGTGCACATAATAGGATATATCTCTGGTTTTGACTACAAAAATCATGGGGTATTCCTTCAAGCAAAAAATGCAAGGGAGTAAAAGGCAGGTCTACATGCTAATTTTTCATAATCTCATCCTTAACTCCTTGCCAAAATGTAACTAATTTTGGACATTCCCAAAATATGTGTGTGGTCTCCTACCTTCCCACACTCCCTCCAACATTTCTCTGATTCTGGATTATCCACAAATTTTGATATCACCTGTGGTGTTCTAAAAAAAATGATTTTTGTTTTGCAGTCAAACTCTTTCCATGACTGTTGATATCCTTATGACATCCTGTGCAAATGTTTTCCCAAGTCTCATATGAAGTTTCTATAACTATAGGAAGTGTTTGCACAAGATCATGCTTACACGGATGTATTTACTTTCAAATTTGTTTAGAGGGAACATTAGAAGAGCAATCAGAAAATCTTATCTTACAAATCAGACAACAGGCCATATAAATATGAATCAACTTATCAGAGGCTACATGTACACCAATAGCAGAACCATGTTCTTTCTCAGTGTCCTTCTGCTTACTTGTAAGTTTCTAAGTTGAATCAGATGCACAGTAAATTCTGAGCTGCACTCTTAGACATTTCAACAGCTCTGTTCTGGGTTAAATTTAGGAAGGAGAATAGTGTGAATGGCTTCAAGATTAGCATTGCACAGGTATTAATCAGTTAATCATTTATCTTATGTTGTTGTCTTACAGTGGTGCTTCAAGACTCCAGATTGCTGATTTCTGCAGGTATTTCATGAACCACATCAACAATCATCAGTTAAGCAAAGATTATGTCTTAATTGTTTAGTTCAGTTTTAAATGTCATGTTTTTGTTTGTGTGTGGGGGTTGTGGTGTCAATATGTCACCATACTGTATTTTTTATTATTATTATTTAGTATTTTGCCAATTACCTTGTTACAAATGACAAATAATACCTTCAAGGGGGGCTCTTTAATTTTTCAGAGACAGTAGTTACATGTGATGGGTCTGTCCAGCGTCTAAGTTGTGGTAAAATGTTGTAGTTACAATCAACTAAGTTATTTATTATATATATATATATATACTATTTTTGTAATCGTTTTAACAGTAATCCATTAATGATGCTTTTCTTATATTCAGACTCTGGTGTGATCAGTGTACAATCAGCAACATATGGCCGCACAAGCAGCCAAATTTGCAGCGTTGGACGACCACAAGTCGAAACATTTAATACTCAGTGTTCAATAGATGTTCCTGCGGTCTCTAAACAGTAAAGATCTTTTTCGTTGTCTTTTTGCTTGTGACTCCAGAAGAATAGAATAGTCTCTTGCTTACTTTGTGGTTAGTTAGTTGATTTGTTAGTGATATTGACTTATTGACTTTAAAATTTTGTTAGTGATATTGAATTATTTATTATCCTTTAAAAGATGTGATGGACTGAGAGAGTGTGAGTTAAACACTCAAGGACTTGCACCACGAGATCCATGTTATGGCAGCTACAAATACTACACTACCAACTACATTTGCATCCAAGCAGGTCTGATTTCTCTCTCTCTCTCTCTCTCTCTCTCTCTCTCTCTCTCTCTCTCTCTCTCTCTCTCTCTCTCTCTCTCTCTCTCTCTCTCTCTCTCTCTCTCTCTCTCTCTCTCTCTCTCTCTCTCTCTCTCTCTCTTTTTTCTCTCTCTCCATTTACATCTCGGTGCAAGCCTATAACCATCTTCTGTACTCTAACTTCTTCCAGAAATAAGTGTGACTTGTCATGGTGGATACGGTTATTTGAAATGTGGTGAGGTATTTTTCTACAACTCTTATTTTGTTTCAAGAAATTAGATCACATGGATTAATTTAAGAAATGCTATTATTATTTTTATCTCCATGTAGATAATGGTAAGATTCAGATAAATACTGCAAACTATGGACGTACAGATAAAATCACCTGCTCGGAAGGACGTCCATCCACTGAGCTCCAAAACACCAAGTGCTATTCTCCCAATACACTGGCTCCTGTGTCGAAAAGGTATGGATCAAATTGCTTTAATTTAATTAGGTAATTTTTAGGTAGGCCTACATTTATATTCTTGGTCTTCTTCAAATACCATCACAGCTATCAAGGGACATTCTCAGAACATTCTGGCAAGGTTCTCACAAAGTTATGAACAAACGTTCTTCCAGAAATGTTAATAGAAAGTTAATTGCTCCATTGTTTTCTGAAGCATTTAAAAAATAAAAAAAAATCTCAAACCATGTCCAATCTCAGCTATTCTTGGGATATCTAGTAATTCTGAGAAGTTTGATATACGTGAAAGACAAGCTATATTATTTGGTATAATAATTGCCAAGAGGCTGATTTCACAAATGTGGAAAACTGATTCTGTGCCTAAGTTTAAAACATTCAAAAGTAATATTCCCATAATGTTTTCTCTAACGTTTGCATAACATTTTAGAGAAAACATTTAAAAACATTGAGAGAACATTCAGAAATAATGTTTTTAAAGGTGCTCTATGTAACTTTTCTTCTAAAATGAATCCTTTTTTTATTGCCTGTGTGTGAAGGGGTTGTAATCACACATTACAATGATCCACTTGTCGGGTTTTGCTATTACCTCTGAAGGCCAGTATTCCTATTTCTATGTGAAGTCTCCGGGTCGGATTTTCTGCGAAATCCATCGGATGTGAGTCACGTGCATGCGCGCTCCCGAGCCTCTCTCCTTTTTATATACAGTCTATGCGACGGCACTGCAGCTAACGACATGGAGTCTGATAACACCAAAAAACGACCTGCCTCCAGCACAACACAGACTCCAACACAAACTCCACATAAATATAAAAAACAAAACAAAACAAAAATGTATCTGCTGAAGCTCGTCAGGCCAAACGTGAATCGGATCGACTTAGGACGAAAACACGGATCAACATCGGCAGAGCATTTGAATTATGGAGAGACCTCCGCTATTTTTCTTGTGATAAATTACAAGTTTTCAGATATGCTGAAATAATGGTAAACTGTAATGAAATAGCAAGGTAAACTACAACATATATGAGACATGAAATGAATACAAAAGACTGTTCCAGGATAACAAAAAGTAGGTGGTTTAGGATGTAACTTTTATTTTATGTACTAGATCTACTGTCTAACGTCACTCATCCCACTACTATCAGATTGTTTATAATACACATGTTGTGGCAAAAATTCATCTCAAACAAACATCACTGCGTAAGAGACACTCAGAGTCAAATTATATAAAATAGAAGTATTTATTCTTGCAAGAATAGGAGCAGTCTAATACACAGTTGTTACCCTGTGCAGAAGAGTGACACACCCCCAGACAGACTGAACTAGCTTTTATCTTAGTTTCAAGGCCTTCTTCCCCCCAGAGCCTTCCTCCCAGTAGTTTTCCATAGACGTCACTAGTTGGCCCCAATAAGCCCCCCTGCACCAAGTGGCCTTCTGACATCTAGGTCAGAGGTCCTTGTTCGTCTGTTCTCTGGAGTGTCTCCCTCTTCTGCCTCCCCAGGTACATAAACAGAATCTTCTCTCACTACAAGTGAGAGACACACATGTGACATTCTTTGAATCATCTATATTTTACTAAAGATCAATGAATATCATTAAAATTGCCACTACAACTCCTCACTTTTTATCATTCTGATTACCCATAATCACAATAATAAACAATAAAACAAATTTTAAGTCATATCATCACACTTATACTCTTTATCTCTGATTTTTGCATAAATGATCACTCCCCTTGAACCTGTGAAGAAAAGTTTAGAATGAAGAAGCATAAGGCTGTTTTTGTGGGGGAAAGGCCCCGTAATATTTTAGCTAGCAAGTAAACATTTTTACGACGCCGGGCTAAGCGAGAAATCACTGTTCCTGCGCTCCTGTAAACAGACCCTCAGTCACGCCAGTAAGGAAAAAGGTAGTTATAACATAGTAAGGAAACAAACAGATAAAAGTATAATAAAAATCACTGAGTTTCAAACCCTATCTTTGTACGCCATCTCGTAACACGGATGACCGCTGCTTGTAACCTTCTTTAAATCTTTTGCCCTTAATCTTTCTCAGAAAATAAAGAAATAGAAGAAAAACAAACAGAACATACATTTAACACATCTCTCACTGTAGCTCCCGCTACCTGTATCGTCACATAATTTTGTTCATCCTTGGGATAGACTGTCATTTCCATCAATTGAACAGACAGCATGTTTCACCTGTCACTGTAATCATATTCACCCATGAATAACAAAATTATTAGAATAACAATCCTAACTCCTATCATTAAGCCTTTTCCATTAATCTACGCCCATCTCCATATTTCACCTCGGTTTTCCTAACCATATTTTGTTCACTTCTAATTCAATTTAGTAAGCTCTATTTAATGCCATATTTAACAAAATCTAACCAGAGAAGTCTTATAATTTTATCCATTCTTCCAACCAATGCAGTTGTTCAATATTAACTCTAATATTTCCATTACGAACACAATCAATATATTTTCTACATTTACAATCAAATCAATACCTAGTTTGATTCAATCAAACCAAATCATCACAAAACCAGATTCTTCTGTTAAACTTAAACCATCAGTTGTGTTGATCATCTCGTTCGCCCCACGGACGTTCTGTGTTCTTTTACCTTTAACTTTTAATTCAAACATGCTGTGGTTCTACTTAATAAGCTTCAACGATTATCCCTATAATTTACATTAATTAATAGATCTTCTCTTCCCAAAAACATTTTCCTTAAATATTTCCTAATGAATAAGTAACCAATCAAATCTTTTGATCTACTGTATATCAATACTAAGCCCTATTTTGATTTAATCAAATAAAATCCTCAAAATAATCACAAAACCACATTCTTAAACCATTAGTTGGTTCACATCCTCCTCCAGGCGTGTTGATCATCTCGTTCGCCCCATGGACTATGGGATGGTTGTGGCCTGTCGGTGTAGGTGAGAGGCTTGGACCCAGGTGTCACACTCTCCAACCATTTTCTGATCCTTATAAGGTTTTCCCTTATATCACGACCGCACCCCCACTGGAGTGAACTGTCACCTGTGAATGGAGACCTTAAGTATTTTGTTAGTGACCGCTTGTCTAGCAGCTCGTCCCCTTTGGTGTGACCTGTGGAATCAACAACCTGAAACATTATCTCCGGATAATTTCTTGCTCACTTAATAGCACTCGGGGTCCTTTTACCCTGAAAAACACAATATTTATACATTTGGAACAGAATTAGTTCTGTTTGATCCAATCCATCCTGACATTCTGTAAAAGGAAAATTTTAAGTTATGCGCTGCGCAGGTGTAGCACCTTTCTGCCACACTAATAACCCAGGCCAGGACAGTTAGCCAAATTCATCCATAACCATCATTTTATTGGGCACATTTTGCCCTGTCTCCCAATCCTGCATGCTCTCTGTAAAGAGAAACAAATTTCGAGGTTATTGTCAGATAGTAAAGTACGCAGTTTCTTTTGTCTACTGTTCTCCCGTGTCCTTCGATGCCCTGACGTTTCCTGTTGAAACAATCTTTGTTATTGGTGTGTGCACACTCACAGACATCAATTTTGTTAGGCAGAAAAAATGGCTTCTTTCAGGGCTTTTATCAAATTACCCCTAGTGTTCTCCCAACATTTATCCCTTAATAAACCATATTTGGCAATTGTTATACCATCTCCCTCTTGATGCACGACACAACTCGAGCATCAATTTAACATAACATTTAACATAGTGTTTTTTATAAAGTTTGCCATCAACACTAACCCAAACGTCCTTCAGACAAATTCCCTCCAGACATCTTTCTCTGCCTCTGAAACAAAAATATTACATTCTTCACTTAAAGCCACAATCTCATCTTCTTATCGAAGTATTTGAAAGGCAACGGCCCTCAGTCTCACAGCGTATTCTGCTTTTCAGGCCTGTTGTTTGGTCTCCCAAGTCAGTCATCTACAAACATTTCCAAAGTCATCAATTGTTTTTATCAGGTCAGGTCGTGCTGTGCAGACTTGGTCAATGTCAGTCAATCATTTCTCCCCCTTTGTTCACAATAATCATAAATGTGAGAGGCTCTCTTGATAATTTCATGTTGACTTAGCCAATATGTCACTTTGTTGTTTCCCTCAAATCTACAACGTTTTCCTTTATCTCAGCCCATGCCAGATGGTGATCTACAACTACACAATTCCAATTTACTGATCTTCAAATCTACATTATGTATGACAAAATTATTACTACCAGACAGAGCTTGATGGCCAATCAACTTAAAGCTTGTCCCATGTTCTGTATTGTCTTTTCATCAGAATTATCAGCTTCTTTAAAGTTGTCATTTGCCTTAACCCATCTGTAATGATAAACTCATTCCAGAGGTTAATGACGCAATATACACACCATTCAGGCGGAATATTAGTGCCCCAAACTAATACATACAAGACATAAAGTGCTGTCACCATCACACACACTCGTACTAGACACACATATGTTAACTGTTCATTTTCAATATTCATTTTTCTTTATATTATTGCTAAAAGATTTAAATTTTAAATAAGATTTTAAACTTCCCATTTTCCGGTAGCTTCTACCTAATTTTACATGGTCTCCCAAACAGTTTCAAAGCACGTCTTGTTCATTATTCATTAGAATTTAACAAGGTCAGCTGGGTTGTTTTGTTTCATTATCATTATTTTGCTTCAGCTTGCTCTAGCAGGCCAATAATAGAAAGACAGACACAGTTACCATCCCTTCCTCCGCTCAAGCAGTCTCTCTCACTATAAACAAATAATTTTTTCACCAGCCTCCTAAGGCTGTAACTTAGTCAAAATTTGTATTCATTACAATAACCTTTGACCATTCACCTTTGTCATCCAGACTTTCCTTAAATCAAAAGCTGTCTTCATCTTTAGCCACCACCATGTCTAACGACCTTCAAGAGTTAAAACTATGTTATAACATATTAGTTCAAAATCAACACTATGATTTTCCTTGCCCATAAGGCAAACCAGTACATAAAAAGTTTTGATACTGTCTCCACAACAACTAATGGGAATCACTTCATGGCCTCAGCTGGCTCTTGAAAGCCCACTCCTGTTAGCCCTTTATCTATAATCTCCATCAGGGTGTTTTCCCCTGGCATATTTGCAGACGCTTGTCACAATAAAAAACCAAGCCATACAATGAATGCGGTTTCTGGTGATTGGTATTAGAGGAACACTCACGTTTCGGGGTCAGACTGTCTGTAACTCCTCACAGCTCATCCGCCCTAACGATAAAGGATGCTGCTGGCCTCACAGTCATCCGCTCCACTCTCATACCTTTCTCACATAAACACCTCCATCTTGAGATGCCAGTGACTTTACGTGATCCACTCTGGCTTAGGTTGCCCCCTGTCTGGCCAATAGAAGGTCTTACCCGTCATTGAGTAGCCACTCGTGCCCACTGGTGACCGCTCTTTCCCATCACAGGCTGTTTGCTTCAACAGAACTCAGCTGTTTTCTAGAGCTTAGGAAAGGCACGTTCAAGAGTCACCAGAGCCATTCGGATTGCCTAATAGTGTTCACATAGGGAGACAGGTCAATAACAACAGTATTTAATCACTTAAATCCATTAACCATCTTAAAAGCAGCAACCTAGCTACTTGGATTATACTCAGTGAATTCAGATCACAACCGTACATTCAGTGTACATTTCCGTCGGCCCCTCCCCCGTTTCATGGTGGGGACTAAGATCAGACAAAGAAGTTACTGGTCCTAAATTAACCTAATCAAAATGTCATCTCTATCTGTATTATTATTTTAAATACTTCTTTAAAGTCATTCAGTTTTATTTTTAAAACATCTCTGTGTCTATGATCCTTCAACTGAAACACTGTGCTTTACACATTATCACAGATACCAGCTTTTAGCTGACTCATTGAATGAGAGAGACTCTGAGACTCTATTGGATGGTACACTGCTCTCTCATATACTTCTAACATCAAACATTTATCTATCATCTTTTAACTCTATCCCAGCTTGAGGCATCTTTGCCAGAAATTACATACGGTTTCAAATAAACATATTATTTATATTTGTCTTTTGCCCACCTCAGGGAATTTAGACATTACAAATTTCCTCTCAGATTGAGTCTCTGTCGCACTGGCAGTTTCAGGCACAGCACACATCAGATTTTAGATAAGCGAGCTGTTTCATTACAGCCAATAACAAACTTATCTTTTGAAAGCAAAACATCAGCTCTGTTCTTTTCATGGTCACCACTAGCAGGCCTTTTTTTGTTTAATCAAATGCCTTTCAACACATTTTACATTTAGCAACTGTTAATTCAGTAGCCTACTGCATCTGCTTATTTGTTCTTACATAATGGTAATTATTCTAGTTCTCAATAACATTTCACATTTCTCAATCTCAATTTTAGTTGTCAAGTTCTCAATTACCATAACTTAATATCTGACTTCAAAATTTTCTCTTCTAGGAGTTTATCAGTCTCCAATCAGGATTCACACTAACTTTGACAAGGCTACTCTGCATCTTTTGCAGTTATTATAAATCATCTTTGAGATCTGTCTCTCTATATTACCTTAACATATTTTGCAACTCACATTTGTTGGAGTCACAAAAGGATTCACTTTAAGACTTCAATCTTTTGACCTTTTTTTTATCTCTTATTTCTCAGACCAAAAATTGTCACTGTCGTCATTTAAACACTGATCTATTCTCAACCCTACATTATTATCAGAAATGTGTCACGTGTTAAATGGTCCTACTGACCACAGTCAAGACAATCTCTGTCATCTGGTTGGTTCGTGTGTCAGCCTCAACTACAGCATCAGACACCTTGCAGTTTGATCACTGTGAGCTTCCAAAGGGCTTCAACTTAACACGCCCTTGAAGCAGTGTGTGTCCCATTCAGGAATGTAAACAGACCCACTGATAAGCAGTTCTCTGTATTCCTTTGACCATCCACCAATGGCGGATTCAATCACAATAGCCAAATCATACTCTTCATCATTATTATTGGCAGAACATAATTTCATGAGCAGCACAGAAAATGCTCAAAATATTCGAATTTGTTTTCTGTCTTTACCTTACTAATTTGGTATTATCATCAACAACACTAATTACAAGTACTGTTGCTGTTATCCCAGCTTATCTTTTACAAAACATCATCTGCAAATCTCTTCAAAGTGAGATCTTCAGAGCAGAGCTGTTTACAGCATTTGCTCTCTTCTGTCTCACTATTTATTTACTTATTTATTTTCCCGGACTGTTCCGTTACTCTTCATAAAGTGTAACCATTTGTACATCATTATTTTCATTACAACTGGTTTTAAGCCTTTTTTCCTTCCATCACATTATTGTCTCAGTCTTATCTCTACTGTTTCTTCAAAACAGATTATATTACTCAGTCCGTAAATTACACAGACAACCATTATAGCTACTTGCTTCAATACCCTTATTTTCTTAACATTAATAAAATAAAGCAGATATATCATCATTTCAATCATTATTTTATCAAAATCTAGAATTGTTCCCCATTCTGCTTAAAACATTCTTCATATCATGTTAATCCCTGTCAATCATACAATGCCTTATTTTATTCTAAAACTTTTCATATCATTTAAACAGTTAATTTGACTTCCATAAATTCTATCAGACCATTTCTATTTTCATCACATATAGTTTTCTACTATATTTCTCCTTTCTTTTCCCTACATGCCAGTTCCTTCATTATCCTCTCCTTTCTTTTCTCAAACATGCCAGTTCCTTCATTATCTAACCAGTACATGATTGTTTGAACAATCCCCACACACACATATCTCACACACCAACCTTTTTGTTTTTTTTTACTTCCCTCTTCCACCAAGTCTCACTTACAGTTCCCTCTATTTCACACAGACAGCCTTATTGCTTCTTGCTACTTCAATCCTTGTCATATAAATTTAAGTTCTATAGACATCTAATGTCATGCATCCATTTACTGGATGAAGAAGTAAAAAACATTTTTCTCCTGGCAGTTCGACATTTTTATCTTCAAGCCAATAATCCATTATCTGTTCACATTTTTTACACACATGTTGAACGCAGCCACAACAACCTTTTGTCCCGCTGCCCTGTTCCACTGATTCTCGCACACTCTTAGTCTATTTGTGCTCATGGTAGCTCATGATCATGGTATTTTCTCAGTTTTTTTTTTCCTAAAACATACATTTCCCCCCATACTTTCCTAGTTCTACAGAAAACCGGTGTATCAAATTTCGCAAGCTTGCTTTTGAGACATCCCCATACTGGCTGTTTTCTGTTCTCTGTGGATTTCTCTTCAACGCGCGTTTTCTTTAATCTGTTAGGCGTCCCTAAACAAATCCGATTCTTTTCTTTTAACCCAAATCGGTCGGGTTGCACTATTAGTGCCCTCCTAATTAAGGTTTACCAAAAAATTCTGGTTCCCCCTAATTAGCCTCAGTACCTAAAAACAATTTGCTCCGTCGTGGAACAACTAATTTTCAGGGTACCTATCTGTTTGAAATCTCTTGATCTGTTACAGTTCTCACTTAATCCCAGATTATTTATCTGCTTGAAATTTCTTGTTCTGTTACAGACCTCAATTAATCTCAGATTTTTCCCTCGTATCTGTTTGAAATTTCTTGATCTATATAGATCTCAATTAATCTCAGATTACGTACCACAGAAACAGCCTTCAGCCAATATGGTTCAATTTCACTCTTCTCCCCAATTAAACTGAATTTAATTAACTTACCCAAAAGAAAATAAATTGAAACTGTCTCTTACCAGAGATGCTTCTGTTGCCACCTGCGGGTTCTTTAGATTCCAGTGGTCGATTCTCCCGGCCCTGATATCGGTCGGCCCCTCTCTCTCAAGTTTACGAGGTAGAGCTGGAACTTACTTAGTCCAGGTGGCCAAACACCGTCCGATCTCAGGTCCAGGAGGCACGTCCAAGGAATGTCACTTCTGACACCAAAACTGTTGTGGCAAAAATTCATCTCAAACAAACATCACTGCGTAAGAGACACTCAGAGTCAAATTATATAAAATAGAAGTATTTATTCTTGCAAGAATAGGAGCAGTCTAATACACAGTTGTTACCCTGTGCAGAAGAGTGACACACCCCCAGACAGACTGAACTAGCTTTTATCTTAGTTTCAAGGCCTTCTTCCCCCCAGAGCCTTCCTCCCAGTAGTTTTCCATAGACGTCACTAGTTGGCCCCAATAAGCCCCCCTGCACCAAGTGGCCTTCTGACATCTAGGTCAGAGGTCCTTGTTCGTCTGTTCTCTGGAGTGTCTCCCTCTTCTGCCTCCCCAGGTACATAAACAGAATCTTCTCTCACTACAAGTGAGAGACACACATGTGACATTCTTTGAATCATCTATATTTTACTAAAGATCAATGAATATCATTAAAATTGCCACTACACACATTTCCAGACACGTTCAGTACAGTAATGTTACTTCCTACGATCTTACTGTTACACTGAAATTGTTCAGTCTAGTTCACTAACCGTTTTCGTTATCATATTATACATTCACCTATGTTGACATTGCTGATTGTGAAAGATACATGAATAGTTAGTGAAATGCCTTATGCTAGATAACACCACAAATGTAACGTTATCATGGTACGAGCATGAATCATTAGTTCAACGTCAAGCTGATAAAAGTAGAAGTAGCCTATTATTGTAACGTTGCAGTGGGAGTTTACATGAGTTTCCAGCATGTGTGATGCTTTCTCCGGTGTGTTGAAAGTCTCAGTGTGGCCGTGTACCATGAGTGCTCGCTCTTATGTTCGAGCACGCGCAAGAGCACGAGCGCTCTTGTAAAAATTGGTTGCAATCTGAAACATCACCGATAGAGGCCGCTAAAAAATACATATAGCACCTTTAAATGTTCTTCAAACATATTTTGTTAGTTGGTATAAATATGCAATGACTAATGTAAGCCTCCTTCTTTGACATGTAAAGCTGCAATGGCCTGAAAAGTTGTGAGGTTTTTGCGACACATACGGTCTTTACTGATCCCTGCTATGGCATTTACAAGTACCTTGCAATCTCCTATTTTTGCCTCCCACCTGAAATTCGTGAGTATTTCTTATCCTGTTGCTCCTGTTTTATCCTGTTTTAACAGAATGTAATGTTTTTGGATACTTAATTGCATGTTAATTAAATAGAATTAAGTTTGGGTTGCAATTAAATAGCTTAATATATATATTAAATTCAATTAACTGAACTTTATAATGCTTTTTGGCCCACTTAAGTAGGATTTAAGCACAGATTTATATGTAATTTAATAATTTTTTCTGTTGTCTTTGAAATACGGTTAATGTTTAAAGTAAAGCTGTTCATTTTAGATTATTACAAAGTGCATTTTCTTCCTTTTGTGTTGTGTACTATAAAAAACATAGGCTAGTCATGCAAGTGTTCTCTCTTGTACTCGTGTACTTAAGTGGCCTTTAGTTTAATTAATATTACATTATCTGCAAGTAGTTAAAAAAAATACATTTTAAGATTTGAAGTACACAAGTGCACAATCAGTACTACTAAGCACACTTCTTTTTCACTATAAAGCACATAAATCACAGTCTCCATTTGATATGCTTTTAAAAGGCATGATCACAGTAGACACAGCACACACAATAACTCAAAAAGACTGTTCTCTTACGAGAGTATCTCTCGTACTGCGTAATATCTTACGCTATGGGGAAAACCTCTTTTCCTCGAGATATTGAAGCCAAAAATTATCCTTAATTTTGAATCAATGTAAAACGCGTTGCGACAGCATGCAGACATAGGCAAGGCGGCTCGCGTGCCTATTGGCTGACCTGTGGCAACAGCAGCAGCCTATCGAGAGCGGCCCTGCGTGACGTGATACCCAATGGGGGTGCTTCGCACCCATTTACGTCACGTCCCGCCAGAATAGGCGTGGCCTTGGCCTATAAATATAGCTCGACAGGCTGATACAAACTGATTTTCATATCTTCAGCGAAGCACTACTGCAACGCTGGATCCAGAGTGAGAAGCCGCGCCGTCTGAGAAAAAGCCTTCTGCGGGACGAGCCTTTGAGCCTGAAGCCGCTGGCCTTCACCTCGCCGCCTTCAGCCGCCGTTCCTGCTACGCTTTCCGGCGTACTATATATATCCTTTACTCTGCTCTGTGTGTGTGTATGTGTGTGTGTTTGCCCCGCGACTCACACGTCTATACATCTAAAAGAGCTGCGTCTTTTTAAAGATGCCATCCTCCTGTGGCTCGTGCGAGCCCCACTCAGCGAGGGGGACCGCCATGTGAAAATATGCATTTCCTGCCTGGGAGAGGATCAGGCAGTTCTCGCCGACGGCGGCTGCCCTCACTGCGAGCTATTGCCTATGGTGACTCTGAGGACTCGCCTGGCATTCTTCTCCGAGACTGCACTTCCACCCGCTACAGTGCGGCGCCGTAAAAGCGCCGTACTCAGCAGGTCCCCGAGCCTTCTCCAGCCCATAAAAGCTCGCCGGTTCGCCCGCCAGCTTCACCAGCTTCACTCGAGTCGCTCACTGACGGATAACGGCCGCCGCACGCCGCCGCTTCCGCCATTAATGACGACGAGATAGCTGCATCTGTAGAGAAGGCCAGCTGCTCTATCCTGGCGTCGGACAGTGAGGATTGGGCGAGCTCTGTGGACCCCCCCCCCCCCCCCCCCTTCTGTCCGCGAGTCGTCAGGGAAACGGGCCAGCATCAAGACCGCGCGGCTAGCTTTCTTTACGTTATAAGTGTTCCCGTGTTCGATCCCTGCTCTCGCAGCAGATAAAAATTTAGTCTCGCCGAGGCCAGACTTCCACCGAAACTTTTTCGCTCGTTCAGTTTCAGAAAATGCGACTGCTCCAGTGTATTTAGCAGTAAACAAGCCGGTACCACGGCCCGCTTGCCTGCTCACAAATGCCGTTTCCACGGCGACCCAGAAAAATCATATAAGCATTGTATTTTCTGGTATTCCGGCCACAGCCGATGGTGTTATGAGTGTAATAAAATGCCCACAGCCCAGTGTTCATTTCTACACACAAACACAGCCCGCCACGGTACAGGGCTCGCACAAATGAAATCGACGCATGTCAATTGTGCATTAAATGCAGTGAATGTGCCCACAACCCAGTGCCCACAAACACTACACACTGCATGTACCACGGTTTCTGTAAAACGAAACCAACACAAGTCTTCCTAGCCTCCTAGGAAAACGACGGTGTTTCAGTCTCGCCGCGGCCAGACTTCCACCGAAACTTTTTGCTCGTTCAGTTCCAGAAAATGCGACTGTTCCAGTGTATTTTGCAGTAAGCAAGCCGGTACCACGGCCCGCTTGCCTGCACACAAATGCCGTTTCCACGGTGACCCAGATAAATCACATAAGCAGTGTATTTTCTGGTATTCCGGCCACAGCCGATGGTGTTATGAGTGTAATAAAAATGCCCACAAGCCAGTGCTCATTTCTACACACAAACACAGCCCGCAAAAATGCAGGGCTCGCACAAACAAAATCGCCTCATGTCGATTGTGCGCTAAATGTAGTGAATGTGCCCACGTCTCAGTGCCCACAAACACTACACACCACATGTCCCACGGTTTTTGTAAAAACGAAACCAACACACATTCAGTCGGCACAAGCCGACGGTGTTCTCAGTGCAGTGAGTGTGCCCGCTCACATTCCCTCACAGACACGCTCAACCCCACGGGGTTTGTCCCGCTCGCTCTCTCTTCACAATCTGTCATAGAGAAACCGAGCGCGACCAGGCTGCCCGCCGTGATCGGCACGCCCCCCGCCTCGCACACTGTAAACACAGTGTTTATGTCTCAGCACACCGAAGCTCTGCGGCCGCCGGCCAGAGCCCGGTTTTCATTCTACCTCTAGCTATTCACGCAGATGCGTGGGCAAAGCTTCCCGGGGTATCAGAATGGGTGTTGAACACTATAAAAAGAGGCTATTCGCTACAGTTCGCTCGACGTCCCCGCCGTTACACGGCGCGAGTCGAAACCACAGTAGACAACGAAGTATCTCATCTACTTCGAGCCAAAATAGCGAAACTACTGAGCAAAGGGGCCATAGAGCCTTTATCTCAGGCTCAGAGCGAAGGGTGGCTATACAGCAGATATTTTCTGGTACCGAAAAAAGCCGGGGGCCTCAGACCCATTCTAGATCTACGACAGCTGAACAGAGTGCTTGTGAAGCGCCAGTTCAGAATGCTGACAACCAGGAAAATCCTCGCGCAAGTTCGCCAGGAAGACTGGTTTATGTCAATAGATCTGAAGGACGCCTATTTCCAATACAAATAGTGTCACGTCCAGGGTTCTAAATTAACACCCGCCAAATGCGGGTTAAAATTCATTTTGGCGGGTGTTAATAAAAACTTACTAGCCAGTTTGGCCGGTGATGCATAAGGCTCTGTTCTCGGTCATTTATCCCCTGGCCGTACTTCCTACATTTCCCATGAACACTGTGCCGTAATGCTACGTGATGACGTTTCATACGCCCATTGGCTGCGCGCAGTTTGCAGTGAAACCAGCGCGAGAAATGATCATGGAAACGAACGGAGCGTCCGTCCACCAGAAAACACAAGGAAGATGAAGAACGAATGGAGCCAGAGCAGGGAGCATAGACTGAAAGAGGAGGGAGCTAGTAAAGTAAAGTAAAAAGTTAAGATTAAACTAAATGCGGAGGTGGTTGGGACATACTTCTGGGTTTAAATTTAAATGTCGTTTAACGAGAGATACGTTATTTTTTTAAGTTTAAGGTTTTTGTCATTATTTCTGAACAAGCTTATACATTAGGCAATATACACAACAAGCTTACTATATATCTTAAGGTTTTCTTTTAGTTGAAAACATTAAACAATATGTGTCAACAAAAAATATAAACAGCAAAAGCATTTAAGCTCAAGCAGCGCGAACGGGGAAAAAACGCTAAAAAAAGCAGACTGCGCAGTTATCGTACAGAACGTACATACTCGAGTAAGCATGATTATCGTGTTTATATTGTTTCACGTTCATGTTGAGAAAAACAATAATATCCACATGCTCGAGTGAGAAAACGCGCTGCGCTGACACAGACGTTGCAGAGACACGTGTGTGTGTGCAAAGTGAAGTAACAGCACTTTGCGTTTTCTGTTCCCTTTCGTAGTCACTCCGAGTTACGTCGGATGACGGAGAATGGGGGTTTCGCCAGAAAGCCTATCATCTTTGAGTATTAAAAAACGAGCCTATGGCAATGAAATGCCATGGGTCTGCGGAATTTGCATAATGTATCTCCGCCTCACCGCGTGAGTATTTAAGGAGAGACACCTGCAACAGCAGATCATGTTTTCGCTTCGGAGCCAAGAGCATCTCTTCACTCCACAAGCCAAATCCTGAGTTTTCTCAGTGACTACATCTCTTCGAGACGAGCGAACTCTCCGGTGTTGGTGTGACGGCGGTATCCAGCGAGTTTCACATTGCCTGCGAGCTGAGCAGTGGTCTGCCAGTCTGTGTTTCTCCCTGGTCGCTTCAACATCTGCGGAGTTTTTCCTCTCACTAAAGAGCTGCACGCGGCACGTCTTTTTAAAGACGCATCTTTCTAAAGACGATCTGCCCGTGTTTTTCTGAGTGTGGTATTCTGATAGATTCAGCTGATGGGCGCGAGCGCTGTTTTGAGTGTTTGGGCTTTGATCGCGCTCAGACAGCGCTCGTGGGTGTGTCACGTTCTCTCACTGGGAACGTGACCATCGCAATGTAACGGTCGAGACTCGATGAGCTCAATGAGTGAGAGTCCCCTCATCCACACCCCGATCTATTTTTCTCCACGTGAGATAATACTTCGGCTGGTGGCCAGGGTGACCTAAGACGGCAGGTTTGGAACTAAACCGACGAAAAATTCCTCGGTCCACACCCCGTCTTTCACATTGCAACCTGCGTGGTCCCAGGTGAGTTCGCCGGCCCGCCCGCGGGCCCGCGGTCTCATTCGGTCCCCCGGCTGATGAAATCATGTATCACCGCATCACAAGGTGAGCTGGAGTCCTCTAGAGATGATGGCTCGTCTGTGCTGCCGTCCTCGGATGTGCTAGCATAACGAGTTTGATCCAGA